CCAGGAGACAAGCACAGGCCAGAGGACAGAGGCCTCAGAGGGCCTAGCTAGTTGGGAATGGCTGCAAGTCTGGTAGGCCAGACTGCAGGGCTATGAGAGGGGTGGGAGCTCCAGGTGCCCCTCACAGAGGATGCCGGTGGTTGGAATGTTCCAACATTCTTGTGGACAAAGGGGCTACTCGGAGGCCTTTACAAAACTCCTTTTTCCTGGTTCCATCTGGGCCAAAGAGATGGACATATTGGACTGAATGGGTTCCTCCAGAGTACCAGACACTCAGGGTATAAATGGAAAAGACTTGGCTCTCTGCCTCAGTCTCCCACATTAGAAACACTGCTGGCCCAGACGCAGAATGAGGACAAGAACAAGGTTACCCTTTCTGCACTATGACTGCACATGCAGGAAGCCCTGGCGCTACTTTTTTTTTTTCCCCCCAACTTTTGTTGGGTGAAAGTGCCCTGGTGCTTCCTGAAGGAGTCTGTTTGGGTTGCAAAATGAACCTTTCTCTTCATTAAGGTGAGAGCCAGTGTTGGGTCACTGTCATGGATTGAATTATGTGCGCCCAGAATTTGTGTCAACTTGGCTGGGCCATGATTCTCAGTGGCTTATAAATTATGTAATGATGTAATGTGGCAAATATGAAACGATACCCCATGATGTAATCTGATGTGATAAACTGATCAGCTGTGAGAGGATTAAGAATAAGAGTAGGTGGCAACACCCTTAGTCCCATCACAGCCCTGACTGGATGTAAGGAGAACTTCTCTGAGCTGTGTGTGGCCTGCAACACCTTTTATCTTACAAGAGATAAAAGGAGAGAGAAGGGAGTGGAGAAGGAGGACCTACTATCACCAAGAAAGAGGAGTCAGGAACAGACTGTGTCCTTTAGACCTAGGGTCTATGTGCTGGGATCCTCCTAGGAACAAAAGACACAGAGAGACAGTCTTCCCCCAGAGCCGGCACTCTGAACTCAGACTTCTAGCCTCCTAAACCGTAAGAGAATAAATTTCTATTTGTTAAAGCCATCCACTCATGGTATTTTTGTTATAGCAGCACTAGAGAACTAAGACAGTCATGGTGGAAAAAGCCCACAGTAGAAGGCAGAGCACTTGGGTCTTAGCACCACAACCTCAGTTTTCAGATTGGGAAGTGGGGAGAAAAATTAGTGGTAGTAGGAGACATAAAGGAGGAGAGGTCAGGAGATCCTAACCTCTTCAGCGCTGACCCCCTTACTGGGCTCAGACCATCTTCCCCCCAGTGTGGCTGCACCCAGTCCTTCATCCCAACCACAAGGAAAGTCATTGACTCCTTGAAAGCAAGTCTGTCATGGACAGCAGAATAACAGAAACAAGCTCAGCTATTTGGGCAGCCAAAAAGAAAAGTCCTAGTCACACCCACCAGGAAGTGGAGGCTTGTATAAATGTCATTAACATGGCAAACGGTGAGTTGATCACTCTCAAACACTCTCTCTCAACCCCCAGGGGTATTTATTTTATCCCCTGGACAAACATTGCAAACATGTATTTAACACACAGGAACAGGGTAAATGGAGTCACTTATAAAAATTGTTAACCGCGCCTATAGTATAGCGCGTGATTGTTAGGAAGATGAAAGCCTTCAACTTGTCGAGGCCACAGGACCATTAAATATGAACCGCACAACCATGTTGCCCATTAAATTAATTTATGGAGTTCAAGAAATGCCTTTGCAACCCCTTTTGATAGACACCCGGCCCTCAATGGCCACATAAAACAATCACCCGGGCTGGCGCTCAGTAAATTTTCCGTGACGCTCATCCAATCTCCTCCATATATGTTTAAAATGAGCCCTGAGATTTGGACTGGGAGACTGCCATCAGGCGGAGGGACCGGCTAGCCAGGGAGGCAGGGAGCCTGAACTGGGGAGGTCTACCACACAGTCAGACTTTCCACATCTGAGTCCTCATGGAAGGGCTGGCTGCTTCATGAGCAAAGCTAGTTTCACAGCTTTGGATGCTTCTGAATTCCCACTGTATCCCAGATTCTGGGCCCATGTTTGTCTGTGTGGTCCAAGGAAGGAGCTACTGGTAAGCCCAGCAGAGCTAGAGATGCAGAGGACATAAAAAAAGACTCCAGAGATTCTCAGCAGTGTGGGTTCAAGGGCAGGTATAGACAAGGACAGGACTGGCCCTGCATATTGATGTGGACCATTGCATGACACTAGCTGGGAGGTTGGTTGGTTTAGGTGGCAGTGATGCTGACTAGACTGGCCATGGGACTGGCTGTGACATTGGCTTTTGGGTGACAGTGTTGAGGGAAATGTTGCATGCTGAGTGGTCACAGATTGAACTGTTTGGTAGCAGACTGGGAAATGCATGAACCTCAGAGGGGCCATTCCAAGGTCAGCTGGTTTCTCAGACAACTGGACCACAGATCACAGAGTTCTAGGTCAGCAGAATTAAAGGTCATTTTGGCACTGCCCTTTTCTCCCTCCCTAAGGCATCTCAGAGTAGACTACCGCCTGCGAGCCTGCGAGATGGCTGGCTGTGTGATGAACCCATGACACTGTTCCTTGTGGCCTGGCTCTGAGCAGTTCCTGTCTGCGCTCATCAGGTTAGGAAGCTTCTCCTCTTGCCGAACCCACTTAAATGGCTCCCTGGCCACCAGCAGCAGCACTGGGGCCCCAAAGCTCCCCCTGAATCTGATCCCAATTCAAGAGTCTTGTTCAAAGCCTGATCCCAGGAGGATGATCCAGGAGACAGCATTTCCATGGAGCCCAACTACACATGCCTTGGGCCCCACCAGTGCGGGGAGACCCAGGCTGATTTGAGCCATAAATCCCAGCTGGAAGGGGCTTCCTTCCTCCCTTTGCCACCCCCCCCATTAGCTTTGCTCATTTATTTAACTTCTTGGGAAATGTGTAAGGAGAAATGAAAGCTCTGATCACAGCCGTCAATTCCGCTGAAAACAGCAAATACCCTTTAAAGCAGAAAATGAATATTGATCGGAGGAAGAGTAGCTTCGAGCTTCAGAAGGAACCACCACTCAGGCATTCTTTAGGAACAGGCAGAACCCGAAGTCACTGATATCAAACTCCAGTTCAACAGTGAGTCTATGGGAGTGCTCATCTTTCTACAGGAACCCCTGGGGGCTGGAAACAGTTAATGCACTCAGGTGCTAACCAAAGGGCTGTGGTTCATGTTCACTCAGGTGCCTCAGAAGAAAGGCCTGGCAATCCACTTCTGAAAACGAGCCACTGGGAATTCCATGGAGCACAGTTCTACTCTGACACACATGAGGTCGGTATGCTTTGGAATCAACTCCACAGCAAGCGATTTCTCTTCCTATACGCTTAGGAACAATAGTGAATAAATTGAACAATGTGGTCCTTATTTGAACATTTTTATTGCCAAAGCATTATGATTCAGATTTATGAAATGTTAGAGCAACAAGAGACATCATGGGTAACAATTCATGTGAGTACAGAGAATTTCAGAAGTTACAAAACATTCTCCCACTCAGTCCCTTTCAAGACCCTTGTGTGATAGTTCTTTTGATCCTCATTTTGCAGATGAGGAAACTGAGGCTCAGAGAGGTAAAGCAACTTGCCCAAGGTCAAGTTAGTAAGTGGGCACTGGGATTTGACCCCAACTCTTCTCAGCACTAATACCAGCACTCATGACAAAACATTATACTACACCTGCCTCTCCTCAAGATTCTTGAGCCCAGACTCCACTGTAGGCCTTGTTTACCTAAGAAAGTCTGTCTCCATGAAAGCCAGTGGTGCTCAGTAGTTAACATTAAGTCATTTGTACCTTGTAATAATAATAACATAAAGCGGGCATTTACTGAATGCTTTCTCTGTGCCAGGCACTGGGGCTGTCTTCTTTACAGGGGCCATTTCATTCCATCCTCACTACCACTTTCTATGCTTCTCCTGATTGTACAAATGTGGAAACTGAGGCTTAGAGAAGTTAAGTAACCTGCCCAAGTTCACACAGCTAGTCAGAGATTCAAACCCAGGCAGTCTGACCAGGCCATGTGATGAGGACACAGTATGCGATAGCTTATCATTCTCGCTATGACTGTCCTAGGCTCTGATCAAAGTAGAAAGACACACAGACTCTGGTTCAGGACATAACTGTTGTTCTGTCTGTTTTTAGTGCTATTTTAATGTGGGCCTGTGTTGTGTGTACTTGCATCTATAAAGATGTGTATAGCTCTGTTGTTGTTGTTATGTGCCATCAAGTCGGACCCGACTCATAGCCACCCCTCCTGGGGTTTCCAAGGTAGTATCACTACGGGAAGTAGATTGCCCAACCTTCCTTCCGAGGAGTGGCTGGTGGGTTTGAACCGCCAGCCTTCTGGTTAGCTGTCAAGTGCCTTAGGCGCTACGCTACTAGAGCTCCCATAGCTCTGGTAGCAAGTAGATAAGACATTTGGCTGCTACCCAGAAGGTCAGCAGTTCAAACCTACTAGCCACTCCGCAGAAAGATGGGGCAATCTACTTCCATAAAGATTTACAGCCTTGGAAGCCTAATGGGGGTCGCTATGAGTCAGATTCGACTCGATGGCAGCAAGTTTGGTTTTGTTTTTTTATGAACACTTGCATCCACAAAGACTTATGTGAATAAACACACGTGAATTTCAGATGCTACTAAACTCAGCTGATTCCAACAATGTCCCAAAAGAATGAAAAGAAACAGTTCTGTGTCCAGCAGAATGCCACATACAGAATCCCTTCAGCAGAAGGCTAGGAGATGTGGTTTAAAAGAGCACTTTGTAAACAGGACATGTCCTGCAAGGATTGCAGACTAAGCTGTGAGCCCAAGGCCCTTGTGCCCTCGAGGGTGGCCCAGTCATGGGTGACCCTTCCCCGAGGGACCCCACTCCCCCCCTCAGCCAGGAAACGCCAAGCCTCAGGATGTGTCTACTAAACCACAGCTTCCTATGAACAGCCTCCTTCACAGATGGACACACTCCTAGACAGGCAGATGGACAGGAAGCCCCCAGACACACCCTTACCCGGCAGTACTCATCAATGGGCTTCAGCCTCTTCACAGCTACGTCCCGGATATGACTTCTCCGGAAGAGGATCTTGCCTGGAAGAGAAATGCTGATGAACTTGGTTGTTTCAGGCAAAACTGCCAGAGGGACCAGGGACGCCACCCTCTCATTACCCTCTGCCTTGGCTTCCCGGCTCCTTAATGAGCCACGACCTGCCACCTCCTCTGCCCAACGTCAACGACACAAGAGAGGAGTGGTCACCTCTCTGGGGAGGCAGGAAACGCCCAAGGCTAAGGGCCCAGGATCTCTCTGGCAGACGAGGAGTCCCGGAGGCTGCCATCTTGGGCTTCCGTGAACAACGTGGTCAAGTCACCTTGTCTGGGTCTAATGCAGGATGGATGCAATGGGTGTGGCTCTCAAGTGACCTCACAAATTAACACAAAGTATGGCCCAACCCACATGCTGTATTTTGTTTTTAGGCCCATCCCTCCTTAAGAAATCAGCATTCATTTCTACCAACTGGGCAGGAATTCCTATTCTTAGTTTGTTGTTGTTGTTATGTGCCATCTAGTCGGCCCTGACTCATAGCGACCCCTCCTTGGGTTTCCGAGGCAGTATCACTACGGAAGTAGGATTGCCCAACCTTCCTTCCGAGGAGTGGCTGGTGGGTTTGAACCGCCAGCCTTCTGGTTAGCAGTCAAGTGCTTTAGCCACTATGCTACCAGAGCTCCCATTCTTAGTTTAGTGGGTGGCTATTTCTAGGGCAGGAGCTCTGGTGGTGTAGTGCCTAAGGCATTTGACTGCTAACCAGAAGGCTGGTGGTTCAAACCCACCAGCCACTCCTTGTAAGGAAGACTGGGGGATCTGCTTCCATAAAGATACTGCCTTGGAAATCCAAGGAGGGGGTGCAAGCACAAGCCAAAGACAAAGGTAGCCTGGCTGCCCCAGCCTGACTGCTCCTCTGTCTCTTGTACACACAGTCTCCAGCTATACTGGCACTGGCTGGAACTACAGGAATGGTTAGGCTGCAGGAAATGCCAGCCCCTCAAAACTACCAGTAGGCTCTTCTAAGCTGACCAAACTCAATCATAGCAAATAGCTCAATGCGTAGTCCTCTACAATATGTTAAATTTAGAATCTGAATTTCTCACACCTTTGCATAGCTAACATCTCTGGCTATCAATGTCCAGGGCCAATTTCCTCTTCCAGAAGACCTTCCTTGATTGGCTGAGCTGGGAGTAACCTCCCTCTGCAGACCACCACAGCACTTCATCCACTCCTAAGGTGCTTGCCCTGCTTTGCTGTGTATTATAGCTATTTGAGAGCCCCCTTCCACCACTGGCCTGTTGGACCCATCTTAGGTCCATGGAGCTTGACCCTTGGTGAAGCTTTCTCCATAGCTGTAACAGATATCCATTGTCCAAGGCCAACTCATTTCCCTCTGGAGAACCTCCTCCCTCCATTCTCAGCCCTTGTGGTTTGAATGGAGCTATCCCCGGACAACAAGGATAGGCATGTGGATCCAGGCTGGTCAGCCAGAGCAACAGTGATTGGCTCAAGGATGGGCAGGGGACAGTGAGAGTTATTCTGCTGGTGTTCTCTTTCTCCCATGGTTGCAAACCTAGTAGGATGAAAACCTGGAGCTTCTAAATCTGTTGTTATTGAATCTATTCCAACCCATAGTGACTCTGTAGGACAGAGTAGAACTGCCCCCAGAGTTTCCAAGGCTGTAATCTTCTTTTCTTTTAAACTTTTTATTGTGATTGGGGTGCAAGTTTACAGAGAAAATTGGTTTTCCATTCAACAATTCATATACATTTTGTTTTGTGACATTGACTAAAATCCTACCACGTAACAGCTCTCTTTTCACTTCCTCCCAGTGCTTACTGTTTCCATGAATCTGTCTTTCCTATCCCTTCCAGCCTTCTGAGCTTTATGATCAAATGCTGCCCTTTTGATCTCGTATGGTTGATTGTTGTAAGGAGTGTGTACCTCCCTGATGTTATTAGTTCATTATTATTATTATTACTATCATTTTAAACTTTTATTGTGGTAAAAACATATACAAGACATTCCCCAACATAACAACTTCCCCATTTACATCTCAGGGACATTGATGTTATTTTTCTTGTTGTGCCACCATTATTGCTACCCTTTTCCAAAATATTCCACCACCATTATCAGAAACTCAATGCCCCACAAACAAAACCAAGGCTGTCATCTTTATGGTTGTAGACTGCCACATCTTTTTCCCACAAAGCAGCTGGTGGGTTTAAGCCACCAACCTTTTGGTTAGCAGGTAAGCACTTAAGTACTGTGTCTCCAGAATTCCTTAAGGAGCTTCTAGTTATCTTTATATTGTCTGGGAAAGAAACCAACTGTGGCAGGTACATACATGGTAGGTGCTCAATAAATGCTTTTTGAATGATTGAAAAGCAGAACCAAGCTATGGCAAGAGGCAGATTCTTTTGACACTGAGCAGTTGGATACAACTATGCCTGAATCTAGGGTCTATCCCAGACTTTTCAATTGCACAAAACAATAAAATTCTCTTTATTATTTAAACCAGTTAGAAATGCGTTTTCATCACTTGCCCTAAAGAAGTCTTAATTAATTTCCATTGCATATGAACAGATATGTAGCTACACATTAACATACTTAACTTTCTGCTGTCCAGGGTCAAGTGAAGGAGCTCTGGTGGCGCAGTGCCTAAGGCACTTGACAGCTAACCAGAAGGCTGGCGGTTCAAACCCACCAGCCACTCTTCGGAAGGAAGATGGGGCAATCTACTTCTGTAGTGATACTGCCTCGGAAACCCAAGGAGGAGTCGCTATGAGTCGGGTCCGATGGCAAATAACAACAACAACAACAGGTCCAAGTGAAGTACTAAGAAAAAGACCGTGGCCTCAATTTAGACTGTTTCCTCATAAGAAGATCTGGATCATATATTTGGTATAGACAATACCAAATCATTCATTTGGGAGATGATCCCAGGACCTACCACTGGGGACTGGGGAAGTAAGGACGGCAGGGGAAGGAAGTATTATCAAGCCAGTTAATCACTGTGGGCATCTGGAGCTCAGAGCAGTTAGGGAACGCTGAGACATGATGTGGAACACGCCTCATAGGTATCCCAGCTGAAGGTGAGGAGGATGGATATTTATCCACCAATTCCCTAAGGTAGTCATGGAGGGCTGCTTCCAAGGGCCTTAACAATCTGGCACTTCTGGCTGAATATGCTCCCTGGAGCCTATGACAGGTAGAGGTGAATGGGGAGGGGAGTTAGTGGGGGCATTGAAAGCAGCTGCTACAGCCATCCCTGACTTCCCTGTCACCATGTACTCGTCACCAGCCCTGCTTAAGTCAGACTGTGGAACATCAACTGTGTCACCTTGTGTGTGACTTGTTTCCCATCTGTCTCTCCAAATACACTGTGAACTTGAGGCTACCGTCTGCAGCCCATTCTTCCTCTCTGACCCCACACACCACTTAGCACAAGATCTTACCTACAGCAGATACTCAGCAAGTCCTGGCTTATTCATTTACTTTCCTCTCCTAGAACCTTCCTCAGGCAAGCCTTCCCTCCCTTTCTCTCTGAAGGCAGAAATAGGGGCCAGCTTCATGTCAGAGAGACAACACTTTGCAGACTGAACAGTGTCATTGAGATAAACAGGCTCTGCTGTGTGTTCTTGAAAAGAGATAAACGTGATTTATCAAGACATTGGAGACAGCCGCTTTAACTTGAGGGAAGATGTCACAGATCTGGTATTCCCTGCCTCTTTGCCTCCAACCCTTTTTTGGCTTCCTGTCACTTTATTGTGTGCACACTGCAGGAGCATATGTAAGTGGCTACAGGGACGTTATGTAAAAATAAAAGCATGGCATGGGGAGACCTGCTTTCAGGGCTGACAAAATAACAGGCAACCCTAGGACCGGAATTCTGGGCCTTCTGTCAAGAGCTTGAGGCTGACCAGATCCAGTGTCATAAACTGAACTGTGTTCCAAAAAATTTCGTTGTAAATCTTAACCTCTATACCTGTGCTATAACTCCATTTGGCAATGGTTGTCTTTGTTATGTTAATGGGCAGGACTGGTACAGGATATATCTTGAGTCAATCTCTTTTGAGATATAAAGGAGATTAATCAAGCAAAGTAGGAAGCAGAGATAGGAGAAGACAGACATCCTGCCACATGCAAAAGACCAATAAGCCAAGGAATAAGGACCTTCCCTCAGAGCCAACAGAGAGAAAGCCTTCTCTTAGCGTCAGTGTCCTGAATTTGGAATTGTGACCTCCTAAACTGTGAGAAACTAAATTTTTATTTGTTAAAGTCACCCATTTGTGGTATTTCTGTTGTAGGGGTACTAGCTAACTCAGACAGAATTTAGTTCCAAGAGTCGGGTGCTACTCTAACAAATACTACGATGTGGAAGTGATTTTGGAATTGGGTTATGGATAGATGCTGGGAAAGTTTTAAAGGTACCTAATAGTAAAAGCCCAGATTGCCTTGAAGAGACTTGGTAGAATCATGGTCATTGAAGTACTTCTGCTGAGGGCACAGAAGATAGTGAGGAGAGCTATACAGTAAGTTCTATCTTCTTAGAGAATCCATATGGTGCCAGCAACACAATGTTGCTAGACATGTGAACATTAAATGTGCTTCTGGTGAGGCTGTAAAAGAGAATGCACATGTGATTGCACAATGGACCAAGGATGATGCTTTTCATGCAGTGGCAAAGAACTTGTCTGAATTATGGTCGAATGTTTGGTGGAAGGTAGAATGTTTAAGTAATGAACTTGGCTATCTGGCTGAGGAGATTTCTAAGCAAGATCTTAAAGGAGCAATGGGGTTTCTCCTTGCTGCTTATAGTAAAATGCAAGAGGAAAGAGATAGATTTAAAAATGAACTATGCAAAATGAAAACAGACCTTAAAAATTTGGATGGTTCAACATTAGAAAAACAATCAAGTCATCCACCACATAAATAAAACAAGGGAGAAGAACCACATGATCGTATCAATTGATGCAGAAAAGGCATTTGATAAAATCCAACATCCATTCCTGGTCAAAACTCTCAGCAAAATAGGAATAGAAGG